GGCCGCCGGGGGGCGCAGGCCTGGCGGACGGCTTCCACCGCTACTACGGCCCCATTGAGCCGCAGGGCCTGGGCCTGGGCCTGGGCGAGACGCGGGCTGCGGCCCGGGGTGCGGCCGGGCGTCCGCTGTCGCCGCCAGCCGCGCAGCCCCCACAGAAGCCACCACCCTCCTACTTCGCCATCGTGCGCGACAAGGAGCCGGCCGAGCCCCCCGCGGGCGCCTTCCCGGGCTTCCCGTCGCCGCCCGCGCCCCCCGCCGCCGCGCCCGCGGTTCTGGGCCCGGACCCCGACGTCCCCGAGAAGCCGCGCTTCGCCTCGAACCTATGATCCCGCGTGGACGCCGCGGGGCTCGGACCCTGCGTCCCGGCCTCCTAGAGCCTCCCAGCCGGCTGCGAAGAGCTGCGTAGACAGCGCTGGCCTCCTCCGTGCAAAGCGTAACACACACACACGCGTATACTGCTAAATACACACGTAGAGGTATCTAAGTCCCCGCGAGACGTTGAAGAGACCTGCTTAGCATTCAGTGTTACATGTTGTCCTTTCTTTTAATGATTAAAGGATTTAAAAGGTGGTTGTAAGATTATTTCTTTCTAATCTATTTTGACTTAGTTCCTTTGATATACGTGTTTCTCTGTTTTATAAAGAGTCCTTGGATTCAATGGGAACAACATTCTGATTTTAAACCGGCTTCTTAGATGAGCTCGGGGACAGCACCAGGGAAAGCCTCCATTGGCTGTGGCTTGCATCTGAGTTATTAATCATTAGTTAGTACTACATAGCAATGCCCCTTTTATAGGTAAAATTGTATTTTGGTGCTTTCGATTTGAAACTAGGTGAAAACACGCTTGGCCGCTCGCTGTAGGAGAGTAGCGCTGCGGGATTAGAACTCGCTTCCACCTCAGGCGCGTGCCCTCCTCTGCGAAACCCGAGGGGTGTCTGTCTCCGCGCGTCAGCAGGACTCTATCAGTGTTAGCTGTAAATACTTTTTTCGACCCAAATAAAAATAGCTATTCTGTGTTGTATGAAAGTAAAAGTCACTGTTTAAGAATTTAGTTTTATTTGTTCACTTCAAATCTTAAGAGTTTTAAATTTTATAAAACCTAACTGTAACGATTACGCAATTGTAATGCAATGGCTTGACACCTACAATATTATTTTAACCTGCAATGTTTTATGCAAAATTGTATGCTCGAATCTACAAGTTGCTTGTATTACACCAAAAAATCATTAATTTTCTTCCTTCTTGCCATAATCAGGCATCCTAAAATAGTCCCTGCATGCTTCCTGGGGGAAAAATAGGTTCAGATCAGTCACTGTAAAGGAAGACTTACAGTATTTCTCATTTCTAGAAGCATATACCAGTTTATTTCCTATCTTAAAATTCTTATAAGGATGACTTGGACCTCTGGCTCACGTCAAAAGTGAGGTTTTCACTTCCATTTAATATTATTGCTATTACCATTATTTACACAATTATCTGTAAATCATAACTTGATTTGGAGTAGCATATGTGTTCTGTGTCCACATTATAGTCAGTAATTTATTGTAGTGTTCATCTAAATAATAAATCCAATAATACATCCTCATGTCTGCTTGGGAACGCACATTTTGCTGTATGTATTTATGTGGTTAAGAAGCAGTAAAGAATGTGGTGCGTAGCGCAGACCTCAAATGGGAGGTTTATTATTTTAAATGTGCTGAAAATAGTGTGGACGCATTGACAGAGCAGAGGTGAAGCTGAATGTCTGTGAGCATTGTTTATTTGTTCCTTTGTTAATTCTTTCCATGATCCGTGAGCCCCTGATTCTTCCCTAAGAAGCCCCTTAGCAATTATTTGTGCCTGGTGCACCCCACAGATGTGGATGACTGGAGCACGGGAAGATCCCTAGGAGCCAGCCTCTGTGTAAGTAACCCAAGCCGAGGAAGTGGCCTAAGGCAGAGCTCTTCAGAGTCGCTGATGCTGGCAGGGTAGTTCAGAAGACTTTGACGCAACGTGTGGGCCAGAGCCTCCAGACAGACTGAAGGACAGAGACCAAAACAAAAGCAAGAACTCTAAAGGGATCCAGGCTCCCTGTCCTGCCTTTGTGGATGTAATACGTGTAACACCCAGATGACTCACTGTGTGTGAGTTCCAGCAGACCCCAACTTCATGGAGTAATCAGTAATGCAAGGCGAGGTGTTATCACCACCAGTCTGCCGGTGACTTACGATGGCATGTCAGAAATGGCGTCCGAAAGAGATTGTTCTGTCTGCCTAGAACCTACGGAAAGCTGCAAGACCATTTACATATCAGTACAAGAAACCTTTATTTTATTAAGATATGAGAATTAATTCAATTTATTAAGATTACGCACTGGTCCTTTAAATTGTTAAAGGTTTACATTTGATAGGATTAATGGGTTTGGTAGCGAAATATTTTTATAT